TGTGGAAAACCTTGTGTTGAGCTCTGATGCCGTTTGATGCGTCAAGCTCTCTGTATGCAAGAAGCACAAGCTAGGTTATGCCCTTCTCGGCAGAAGCCAGCGTCGTCTACATGCTTGTAAAGTTTGCATGAAGTTCGCAGCTTGATTACTTCGTTGCCTTGAGGAAATAAGCCTTCGCCTGTGGTTGCCCATGGATTTCCGATAAACTGGAACGATACTGAGAAGATCACTTAGCACCCTGGCTTAGCATCTGCAAGGCCAGCCGTTCATTCACACAATACTACTTTGGGGGGGCTCCTTATTATGATGATAGTATAATGGGCCCTGAAACCCTACCCTGATGTCTAACTATTAAGGCGCCTGTAAGAATACGAACATGATACTGTAATTATAATAAGGAACCCCAAAACACAGGCAATTGTTAAGGCCCCTATATTAGTAGTATAATGGGCCCCAAAACCCTACTCTAATTATTCAATTAAGGCCCCAATAATAGCCCTACTCTAATGTCTATGAGTATTAAGGCCCCTATATTGTAGTAGGAACCCATCTTCTTCTGAAACTCCCAGGATGCTTGCGGAGCGAGCAGCTACTTCAACCAGCAATGCAGCAATCGGATTCAGAGACCCTGGGCCCTACGGTTGATGGTAAAAACCATGCATTATAACCTTAAGGACCCTAAACTATGGGAATTATGGTATATTCCTTATTATGGGTAATGCAGGATTTCTGTCGGCAGCCCTATCACATTCGCGACAGAAGGATCCACAATGCAAAGAACCCCCAGAAAGACCCATGAGGGTTTCTTCATGAAGCTCCTGCACTATAGGAGTGGCCTCGGGGCCTCCTTCAAGAAGTCTACGGAGCTCTGTCGTGCCAAGTCGCTGCGAGTATAGGGAACCGACTCGCCCTTGGCATTTCTGTACCTCTTCGGGGTTTAGCATCTTCGGGTTGTATGGCGCTTTAGGGCTGTTAGGGGCAAGGTAGCGTTCGGAGCAATAAGTTTCAAGTCTGGCACTGCCTTGCAGCCAGCCCTGCATACCGTAGAAGGGCCCAGAAACAGATTTCGAGATGTTTAGATTAGGGTGTCAGGTTTAGGGAATACAGTGCAGGGTTTGGTGTGCTGGAAACTCAGGGGGACAACATGCTCAGCGAAAGAATTACCTGCTTCGGGTTTACATGGCACATGATTAATTAGTAGCGCGCCCTACAACCGAAACCCTAACCTAAACCCCCAAACCTTGAACCCTGTAATATAGGGGCCTTAATAATTAGAATAGGGTTTCGGGGGTTCCTTTTTTCTAATTGTAGTATAATATACCCCAAACCCTATTCTACTTATTAAGGCCCCTATAGTAGTCTAAAGTCTAGGTATCTGACGCCCTGAAGTGCGCCCAGGGGCTTCAGTTCCAAGCACTGTCTCACCGACAGTCCGTCGCACTGATCCTGAGCCAATCGCACCGCTCTGAGGGGTTGAGGGCTTAGTAGGGTTTTAGGTTTAGTGTTTAGGCCTTCAGGGTTTAGGGTTTAGGCTTTAGGGTTTATAATTTAGGTTTAGGGTCTCAAGGTCTGACGTCTAAGGCTTTAGTCTTTCAAAGGGGTCGGCAGCATCGCAAGCAGCTGAGCTCGCTTCGCTGCGCTTGTTCAGGTGGCCTGACGACGAAGTAACCTCCAGTGCGAGATTCCCACTCTCCGGTGGAACAGAGCCTACTGATTCTGACTAGAATGAAGCTTCGAGGGATTTCTTTTACTTATATCATCTATAATTACGATAAGGACTATTGGAGCAGCATTGGCGCAAACGACTACAGTAAGGACTGCCAGGTTGACTGCCGGCGGAATGCGGGGTTAAGTGCAAATGTGGTTTGGCTGGCAGGTCCAGCGCCGTCATCAACGAGGCGTGAGCAGCACGAACACAGCTCGCCAAACTGAAAGAATGCTGAAGCTTACCGCCCTTAGGTTGCAGACAGGTGCCTCCGTCCTCTTTATCGTTGCATCCAGAGGAAGGGCTTTGCTGCTCTGAGCAGTGAAGCCTGTACCTCAGTGCATCCCAGACTTCCGGGAGGATTTAAGTAGAACCCCTAATTTGGGACCCTATACTACTACAGGGCATTTCATAGGATCTCCCATTAAGGGATCTACTTTCTAGATCGTCCCGGGGGTCCGGGACACTAGAAAGGTCAGCAGGCCCTAAACCCTAAACCCTAAACCCTTAAAGCCCTAAACCCTAAACCCTAAACAATTAAACCCTAAACCCTACACCCTAAACCCTTAAAACCTAAAGCCTCAACCGGAGTGCGCTAAACCGAGGCTCTGAAGCACTACAGCATCGGCCCCGGGCTCATTAGAACTAGTCCTAGGGTTTTGTTTAGGGTTCAAGGTTTAGGGTGTAGGGTTTAGAGTTTAGGGTTTAGGGTTTAGGGTCCTAAACCTTAAACTAAACCATTAAACTTAGTGGAATATTGCTACTATCTACTATTCTAGTACTAAAACATAGGCTCGACAAAGGTTCCCTTGAACCCTAAACCCTAAACCAGCTAAGCAAAAGGTTACCTACCCAGGCCCGTCGGTTCAGCTGAAGCTCCCGAGGTGCTGGCCACCTTTTTGGCCTTCTTGATGGGCCCTGCCTGGAGTCTTAGGGTTTGGGGTTTGGGGTTTTGGATTTAGGGTTTAGGGTTTGGGGTTTAGGATTTAGGGTTCAGGGTTTAGGATTTAGAGTTTAGGGTCTTGAGCGCCCTTCGAACCATAAGGAACATACTATTGCTTAATAAGCCCTTTGGAGCTTGATGACCAAAGATAAAACATAATTCCCAAGAACACGAAAGGGGTGAGGAAGGCTTGGCAATGTCAGTAGAAGATGCTAAGCCAGTAGCCTCGTGTTTAGAGAAGCCAGAAAACCTGCACCTAAACCCTTCACGTCCGCCCTAAACCCTTAATGCTAAAGCCCAACCCTAAATCCCGAACCCTAAACCCTGCACCCTAGTGGGCAGTCAAGCTGAACACGGAATCCTCGGTTTCGAGAACTCTTCCCATCATTCTCGCTAGTGTTGTTGTAGGTTCTTGCTGTGGCAGCAGCCGCATGATACCTATGTGTACCATATGTGCACACATTTGAGGAATGGCTGGCTACATGCACATGCATGCATAACATACTCGAAGCCGGCACCACCGTACCGGAGCAACAACTTCGTACCAGGGATCTCTTTCAGCTTGAGCACGTCGTGGTTGCTCTAAGTGAGGGTTTAAGGTTTAGGGCTAGGGGGGTGCGCACGCGGATGACATCCTCCTTTATAAGACAACGACATGCAAAGCTCCCAGCTGTTGGAACTCGAAATCATCGACCTGGCACCACTTCTAACTGCACACACATAAACATAAACAATCTCTCTCTCTATATATATATATATATACACATGTACAGATAAAAACTCTGTTAAATATAAGTGTGTATACGTACATACACACATACATACATACATACATACATACATACATACATACATACATATATACATACATGTAACTTGAACCTCCCCTCCCCCTGCGCACAAACAACGAACCCCAGAAGAGTCTCGGAGGTACTCTGAACGGAGGTCCTTTCCCGAAGGGTCCCATGGGGAGGACGCTTGCTCACATAATCATTGTAGTTCCAAATATAGAAACCTTACATTCGACTGTATGAATATTCAGGGATTAGGGTTTAAGAGTCTAGGTTTAAGGGTTTGGGGTTTAGTAGCACCCCTTCGGTTTGGCATGAGAGGTGCAGGAGAGCGGGTGCACTTGCATGTAGGACGCCTCTGTGGATGACGACGGCCGCTTCATCGATGGCATTCCCGCTGCTAGCCTTCAAATGGGAGAGCCATAGATGCAAGCTGCACATGCAGAGAAAGCATGTGTCATCTTCGAAAACCTGGTGTAAAATCTCTGATCATGATGCAACATGTGCGATAAGAGGAAGCTGAACCCGAGACAGTCACACCGGCAATCGACGAGATTCAACCCACGTGGCTTTGCGAAGCCTTGAGACAGTCCCCGAAACCCTAAACCCGTACACCCCGAAACCCTTAACCCCTAAACCCCGAAACCCTAAACCCATACACCCCGAAACCCCTAACCCCTAAACCCTAAACCCCTACACCCCGAAACTCTGAACGCGTAAACCCCGAAACCCCTAACCCCTAACCTCCTTAACCCCTAAACCCCTAAACCCCGAAACCCCGAAACCCCTAAACTTAAACCCGCAAACCCCAAGCCCTTCAACCCTAAGCCCTTCCTCTTGGCAACCCCCGAAAGCCTCAAGCGCTTAAGTGCACTTGCAGAGTTCCACTTCAGGGCTGCTGGTCTTCGGGTTCATACTTGGTCTTGGGACCTTCATTCTTAGGAATAGGGCTTTGGGGTACGTAGTATAGGGACCTTCATACTTCGAACAGAGCTTCGGGATCATAGTATAGGGACTTTCATACTTAGAATAAGGCTTTGGGGCACATAGTATAGGGGCCTTCATAATTGGAATGGGGTCTCGGGGTACTTTATAGTACAGTTACAGAGGACCAAAAAGTGTTTGGGCCAGTCGCTTGTGTATGTGTGTCCTTGCGAGTTTCATCTCTCCCCTCCACGGCGACTATATTGCATTCTGATGGGCCAACTTCTCGATCAAAAGCGCGACCCTCATCCTAGGTGCTCGGGCTCTCGCGAAAAGTGTCTAGACTTCCAATACCTACTACCAACTCCTCCTTCTCCTCATCGCTACTACCCTCCCCACACTTATTCCTGTCGTTGCTGCTTCTTTCAGCAACTAAGCACAGTCATCGTGATCGTCATCTTCGCCACGATCAGCATTATCCTCCTCCTCATCATCCTCATCCTGATCATCTTCTGATTCATCCTCATCATCCTCATCCTTCTACATACCTTTACCATCATTATCTTCATCGTCATGATGATACTCGGCATCGGCAGCTGGAGCTGCAGCAGTAGCAAGAACAAGGAGGAGCAGCCAACAACCACAACAATGCGACCACCCCACGCCACCTCACCAGCACGATCGTCATAAATGTTTCAGCCTCGTCGCCATTTATTGTTCTGATTATGACTACCCTCATCTTCATCATCTTCGTCTTTACCATCTCATAGCTTACGGTCGACATCCCCATGCCCTTCTCTGTCTGGTGCTTAGTAAGGAATGGGGGAATGGATCCCGATGGTAGTCCCTTAAGGTCCCTTATAGTAGCCCCTATAACCCATTCCCCCGTTCCCTACTAAGCACCAGACAATTCTGAGGCCTCCACCCCGACAGTCAAAGGGAAAACCCCGGTTGGCTCAGCGGCTCGAGCAGCTTCCAGCAGCGACCAAAGGGCATTATTTGGGTAGTTCTCTAAATTAGGGTCCCTTTTTACGTCCCCAATATAGTACGGCACCCTTATAAAAAGGACCCTAAAAGCTTGTAAAAAGGACCCTAAAAGCTTATAAAAAGGACCCTAAAAGGGACCCTAATTTAGAGAACTACCCATCTAGGGTTCAAAACGCAAATGTGGCCACTCTGAGGGTTTAGGGTTTAGGGTTTAGGGTTTAGGGTTTAGGGTTTAGGGTTTAGGGTGGTCTAGGGTTCATGTTTGTTTAGGGTTTAGGAGACACATCGTTTGTCAGGCATATAGGATCCGAATTCAATGTTTGAGAGCAGAAAGGCGTCTGAGGCCCAGGATGAATCATGAAGGGTTGGGGATTTAAGGTTTAGTATGTGGGTAGTTCTCTAAATTAGGGTCCCTTTTCAGGTCCTTTTTATAAGGGTGCCGTACTATGTTGGGGACCCAAAAAGAGACCCTAATTTAGAAAACTACCCATGTGGCATTTGGGCTTAACTTGAGGTCGTTGACGGTTTGGCAAAGTTGGTTTTGGACTTTAGGCTTTGGACATAATGCTTTACAGTCGACTGTCTGGTGCTTAGTAGGGAACGGGGGAATGGGTTATAGGGGCTACTATAAGGGACCTTAAGGGACTACCATAGCGATCCATTCCCCCATTCCTTACTAAGCACCAGACAGTCGAGGTTTGAATGTACGGGGCTTCGCACCTGAAGCACGCCAGAATTTCAGGGCTTCTAGCAGGGCAGTCCTGTTTAGGAAAATTGAAACTGCCTTTCGACCATAGTCCTCGAATAGGACTTGCCTTCAAGAAGGTAACATACACACATATATCTATTCTTACTACTGCTGGATCTATCGAGTTTCTCTTTAACGGGAGCTCCAAAAATGGAGAGTCGGGCTTTGTGTGGATGATCGGGTGAGCGAGTAAGTAGGGCATGCCTGAGAAGGACCAGAGGTGAAGAGGATTTAGACTTTAGGGTTTCGGGCTATTTATATAGGCTACCCCTTCACAATCCTATGCACAGCAACTACGGCCATGTACCCTGCAGCTACGTCTCAGCAACTCGACCTCATGCCGGAGAGAAGCAATCCCACTTTAGCCATGTTTCGCAGGGAGGCAGAAATCATTGGCTGTGCAAGGCCCGCCAGAGTAGCAGAACAAGGCCGTCTCCAAGCAACTCAGCAGCTGTTTCTGGTGGTGGCTGCGGCGGTGGGGGGGGGCGGGGTGTTGCTGCAGATCTACAAAGTCGCGATACTGCATCACAGCAAATCTCGATTGGCGCGGGGCGGGTCGGCCAACAGGCTACCTGCGACAAGACAGCTGTAAGCTTCCTATACATTTTAAGCTTCAGGGTCAGGGCTGTAGGTTAAGCTTCAGATCTGATATACTATGCACTTGCAACTGAAACTCGCGGAGACCACCAAGTTTACTAACTTCAATGTGACAGCCCGGCTTTCTGGCAACTTATTTCACCATAGCAGTATCAGCAACAACGCAATCCCGCAAAGGTTGTCACTTGCAACGGTGCATCAGTTCGCATGCCACGTATCGACGACTCTCTGCCGGTGCCCCCAACAGACCACTCCAAAACCAAAGCACAAAAGCAACTTCAGCATTACATGTTCACGAAATCACAAACCTAAAACACAAAAACGACGAAGAGCTTGGGAACAACAAACCAGCTACAGCAGTATTCGTCTGGGGTCTAGAGATGTTTGGGGCTTGGAGACCAACCTCACTAGATGACCCCAACCCTAAACCCTAAACCCTAAGCCCCCAAACCCTGGACTGTGTCGGGTTCTCGGGGCCAAGTGCTCGAACGACGGACTTCTTCTATGTTGGAATACCAGCCATCTTGGCTGCTGATATGGAAAAGGCCGATATCGACTAGGTCACAGCCAATTCCATGACCCGTAAAGGTCCAACAACCGGCTGCGGTCACACGTATACATATATAGATAGATAGATAGATAGATAGATAGATATATAGATAGACATACACACACACCTACACACAAACAGATGTATGTATGTCTGTATGTCTGTATGTATGCATGTATGGATGTATGGATGTATGGATGTATGGATGTATGTATGTATGTATGTATGTATGTATGTATGTATGTTTATATATACACACCCGAAAACTTTGTCTAACCATTAAGGCCCTAAGGTGCTAGTTTT